GGGGCTCTAGTGGCAAAACATAGCCATCCAGACCCATCACTTCAGCAGAGGTCATGAGCAAGGATAACTTCCAAAGAAAAAGGAAGAGACTGAACATGTTCCCTAATACAATTAACTAAGAATTTGACTAAAATGTGGTCAATTCAATGGCCATGTATGGATAGGTCAATAATATTTTAAAAAAAGCAAAAAAAAAAAAAAAAAAGAAAACTAAGTACTGCAAAGTGATAGAAGTAGTGTTAAAATTTCAGAGACAAGTGATTGAACCTAATCAGGTGTGATAAGTTGGCAAAGAAATACACACTAAAGGGAGGTAAGAAATAAATGAAATTTAGAGAGTGGAAAGTGTAGATAAACTTGATTTGATGACTTAATTAATACTAAAAATATCCTGTAGGAATATATAAGGGAATCTAAGATATTTTGAGTTTATTTGGAAAAATATTCCTAACTACTGAAAAGTGTGTCCAGGGTTTTGTACCCTTCTATTAAAATGTCATTAAGAAACTAATTAGAGAATTATAATTATCATCGATTAAATCTCTCATTGAAAGAACAGAAAAGCATGTCCGATATGATTCTATAGAGAAGATTAATAGAGCCAGATCTGGAGAAGGACAGACTGTACTAAGACATTGATTCTCCCAACGTCCTGTGTCCACCAAGGGCAAGAGCTCAACTATATTCTGGGAGAGTGAAGGCATTACATTTCCTGAATACTTATCTCTGAGAAGCTTGGAGCTTCTCTAGGGTGCTGTCAGTGGCAGATTGTGGGTAGCCATTGCACAGGGCAAGTGAGAGATGCCAGACAGGATTAGTATCTGTTACCTGACAAGCCAGCTAGGAAGGCAGGAACATTCATACAGGAAGCAGTGAGTTTAGTGGGTGAGAGCATAGACGTCAGACTGGAGTTTGAATCCTGACCCCAGCGCTTACTAAGGTGGACTAAGGTGCACTGCTTTATCTTGTTAATCTTCTATTTCCTTAGCTATAAAATGTGGGATAGTCATTCTTACTTCATAGGATAGTTGTTGGGCTGTTGGTAAGATATGTATCAAATACCTAGCACCGTGACTGACATTATAGGTTTACCATAAATGATAGTTGTTATTATTACTCAAAATGAATGAAAGAAACAGGCAGAAAATGGGATCTAGGGTGGAACATGGCATACTGTGAGGTGTATGAAAGTGGGTCACTATTTTCCTGGTATATGTTGATAAATCTTGGTAGGTATACACTTCTTTATGTGAAACGAGTCAAAGAACTACAAGCATTTGGACCTAGTGTACTATAATGAAAAGATGACAAGGCCATTTGGGGAGACCTCAGCATTTTTGCAGTTGGCAAAAAATTTCTGCAATTTTTCTCTGTGTCTATTAAGTGAGCTTTAAGATCGTTTTCTTGGTCATTTTCTAAAGGGTCTCAGAGACCCCTTTGAACCCTCTCTTTCCTTTTCAACATGCATTTAAGGATCATTGGTTTTGCCTGTTCTTCCCCAATCTTTCTAAGAGTCATTTAGATTCTTCAGAATCACAGCTCAAGGGTAAATTTTAAGCATCTCATAAATAGACTCTATTGCAGCTTTCCCTAGATTGGCCTCTCTCTCTCCGTTCTTTTCACTCCACTATAAACTGAAAATATTAGCGCAAAGACTTCCTTCTCTAAATTACAACAATTTCACTCAAATTTCTATACTAATACAATGTTGCTCTCTCAGGTCCAGTTTCTTTCAAAGACTCAAAAATGCCTGAGCTTTCGGCAATATTTCCATTTCAATGAAATTATAGGCAAAATCATTGGCATGTAAATTGTGGACATCATGACAGTTTATCACCCTCCCAAAATAATTAAGCATGCATCACCTAACAACAGTCTTATCCTATGTTACTATAATGCCATTATTACACTCAAGGAATTTAACATTGATAAATCATATTTTCTGTTTTTTTCAGATGTACATTGTAATATATTTCCAGTTCTGTGTAGATTACATCATATTCACAACCCAAAAACTAATTATAGTCCATCACCTCACATGTGAGCCTAATCACCCCTTTTGACTCCCCTCTCCCCGCTTCCCCTATGGTAACCACTAATCCAATCTCCATTGCTATGTGTTTGTCGTTGTTTTTATCTTCCACTTATGAGTGAGATCATATGGTATTTGACTTTCTCCCTCTGACTTATTTCACTCAGCATAATACCCTCAAATTCCATCCATGTTGTCACAAATGCCTGGATTTCATCATTTCTTATGTCTGAGTGGTATTGCATTGTGTATATATACCACATCTTCTTTATCCATTCGTCCCTTGATGGGCACCTAGGTTGCTTCCAAGTCTCGGTTATTGTGAATAATGCTGCAATGAGCATAAAGGTGCATGCATCTTTATGCACTTCTGTTTTCAAGTTCTTTGGATAAATATCCAGCAGTGGAATAGCTGGATCATATGGTAGCTCTATTCTTATTTTCCTGAGGATACTCCATACTGCTTTCCATAGTGGCTGCACCAGTTTGCACTCCTACCAGCAGTGTACCAGGGTTCCCTTCACTCCACATCCTCTCCAAACACTTGTTGTTTCCTGTCTTCTTAATTATAGCCATTCTGACCAGAGTGAGGTGATACCTCATTGTAGTTTGATTTGCATTTCCCTGATAGCTAATGATGCTGAGCATCTTTTCATGTGCCTGTTGGCCATCCGTATATCTTCTTTGGAGAATTCTCTGTTCAGATCTTTTGCCTATTTTTAAATGGGCTTGTTGGTTTTTTTGTTGTTGAGATGTATGAGTTCTTTGTATATTTTGGATATTAACCCCTTATCTGACATATCGTTTGCAAATATCTTCTCCCAATTGTTAGGTTGTCTTTTCGTTTTGTTGGTGGTTTCCTTTGCTATGCAGAAGCTTTTTAGTTTGATGTAGTCCCATTTGCTCATTTTTCTTTTGTTTCCCTTGCCCGGTCAGACATGGTACTTGAAAATATGCTCCTAAGACCGATGTCAAAGAGCGTACTGCCTATGTTTTCTTCTAGAAGTTTCATGGTTTCGGGTCTTACGTTCAAGTCTTTAATCCATTTTGAGTTGATTTTTATGCATGGTGTAAGATAATGGTCTACTTTCATTCTTTTGCATGTGGCTGTTCAGTTTTCCCAACACCATGTATTGAAGAGACTCTCCTTTCTCCATCGTATGCTCTTAGCTCCTTTGTTGAATACTAGCTGTCCATAAAAATGTGAGTTTATTCTGGGCTATTGATTTTGTTCCATTGATCTGTGTGTCTGTTTTTGTGCAGTACCAGGCTGTTTTGGTTACTATGGCTTGGCTTTATAGTATATTTTGAAATCAGGGAGTGTGATACCTCCAGCTTTGTTCTTTTTTCTCAGGAATCTTTTGGCTATTCGGGGTCTTTTGAATTTGAATAGACCAGTCACCAGTAAGGCAATCAAAACAGGAATCAAAAACCTCACAAAAAGTAAAAGTCCAGGACCAGATGGCTTCCCTGGTGAATTCTCCCAAACATTCAAAGAAGACTTAAATACCTATCCTTCTCAAACCCTTCCATATTTTCTAAAGTACAGTCCATATTCAAATTTTGTTAATTGTTCCTAAAATATTCTTTATAGTTGTTTTTGTGGTTTTACATCCTGATGTGATCACAGATCACTCTTTTCTGTGGTTTTCATTGGATGGGTACTTTTACAAAGTCACGGGGTGATTCTGACCACCCCTTGTCTTCCCTTCCTGTTGAAAGTCAGGGAGGTAGAATCCTACTATTCTCACTCATGAGTGTGGTTCTTAGGATTTTATTTTACAAATTCTACAAATACATAATAAAAAACATCATATGCTAAATTTTCTTAAAATTAGGAATGCTTCCAGAGGCATGGGGTTATTATGGGAACTTCAAGGCTCGAGATTCCTTTGGGGAGAAGATTTCTGAATCAATAGATCCCTAAGATGCATTCCAACTGGGCTGGGTTAGAAAAGGGTGGATAGAGTTCTGACATCAGAGGGACTGATGCTCTGTTGAGAGTTGTTTATTTTCCCAGGAACCAGAATTGTTTAGGATTTAGCACCTGCCAAGGTTATGCAATTGCCAAATAGACCTCTAAGATACACTAGTATTTTCAGTCAAAGATGATGGCCTGACAGATGAAAAGAACCACAACTTTCAAGTCTTGCCTATTGTGAATAATGCTGCAATGAACATAGGGGTGCATGTATTGGTGCCCATCAAGGGATGAGTGGATAAAGAAGATGTGGTATATATACATAATGGAATACTACTCTGCTATAAGACATGATGAAATCCAGCCATTTGTGACAACATAGATGGAACCTGAGGGTATTATGCTGAGTGAAATAAGTCAGAGGGAGAAAGTCAAATACCGTATGATCTCACTCATGCATAGAAGATAAAAACAATGACAAACAAACACATAGCAAGAGAGATTGGATTGGTAACCTTAGGAAAAGGGGAGAGGGGGTAGGGCAAAAGGGGTGATTAGGCGTACATGTGTGGTGATGGACTATAATTAGTTTTTGGGTAGTAAACATGATGTAATCCACACAGAACTTGAAATATATTATGATATACATCAGGAAACTATATAATGATATAATCCAATGCTACTGCAATAAAAAATTAAATTAAATTAAAAAAAGAAAGAACCACAACTCACTGTTATTATTATCAAAGTTGTCATTGTAAAGTGATAAATGTTAATATATAATACGAAAAAATTCATTATTAATAATTGCTTGTAGTGCCACTGTTTCTGTCTACTTTGTAGTATCCTTTTTTTTTTTTAAAGATTTTATTTTTTTCCTTTTCCTCCCCAAAGCCCCCCAGTACATAGTTGTATATTCTTTGTTGTTGGTCCTTCTAGTTGTGGCATGTGGGACGCTGCCTCAGCGTGGCTTGATGAGCAGTGCTGTATCCACGCCCAGGATTCGAACCAACGAAACACTGGGCCGCCTGCTGCGGAGCGCGCGAACTTAACCACTCGGCCACGGGGCCAGCCCCTGTAGTATCCTTTGTTAAGAGTAGGAAGGTTATCATTGTTTCCAATCTTCTCATCACTATAGTTTTTAATGGGAATTTTTTTCTTCATGCCTGTTTTAAAGACTGTGAAAGAAGCTCTGGAAAGCCCAACATTGCTTTAGGGTTTAGTAAATATTCAAACTCATTGCAAATGAGATAAAACTGGACAGTAGAAAAGTAATATGAAGCTATTACTCAAATATTTCATCAGTTAAGATTAGTTGATTGACAAATTGTTTGTGAAGTAATGCACTTGTAAGAACAGCTCCAGGAGCTGTCACTTTCTCTGCAGCATCATCTGATAGAAAGTGTTAAGGATATGTAGGAAGCAGAAGCATTACTACTTTTTGCTTTTTTATCTTGACATGGCCTTCCCTCTAGGATTAATTATCTTTCTTTTTGTATTGTAGGTTTTATCTCAGTTGCTTTCACTTCCAGGGTAGCCTTCCCAGAATGAATAGAAGAATAAGGTAGTGCTGATTGATTTGGTTTGATACTGACAGAGAGCTTTGAGCTTTTTGATTGTTAGAGTGAGATTTCCTGAAATTGACAATAGTGACTCTGTTCTCTTCCTTCCACCTACAGCGTACAGAGACAATGCAAGAAACAGAAGACAAGGACATGCCATCACCTTTGTGCTTTTAGGTAGTGTCAACTTAACTCTAGAACACATCAGAAAATCAAGACTATATGGCGTAATCTTACAGGATGAAATTGTGATTTCTTTGTGTGATATTGTTCACTATCTTCCTATAATTTTCTACATTCTCCTTGCCCCTCCCCCTTCAGAATTGCCAAGAAATTTTAAATAATGTTTCTGGGCAGTATGCAGTGGTGAGAAGTTATGCAAAAGCCACAGGACAAGTTTTCCTGGGAGTGGGGATACTATTGATTTTACTTGAAGTTTTTGGGGAAAAGTTAAGAAATTTAAATGATGATATTATTGAAAGTATTATGAAATATTACAAGAAATAAATGTATGGTAATACAACACAAAATTTATATCATTTTTAAAGATACGAAAAAGACTTTATGGACCTTTTTCTGCTTATGCTAGAACTATCTTTTGCCACTGAGGTTCTATGGTAGCAAAAACTTGCAAAACAAGGTCATATGAGCTATAGGTCTGAATCTAGATGAAAGCCAACTTTGAAATTATCCAGGAATTGTTTTGGTTAATATGGCTATAAGTCTTCTTCCAATTTCTCATGACACAGTTTGGGTTCCCCAGTAAGAAGATTCTGAGATGGAATGGCTTTGTCTTGCCGTATCTTCAACTCCAGCCAGACGTTTTTCATTTCAGGTCCTTAAAGCCAGGGAGCTGAATGAAGTCACACAGCAAAGAAGGTGGCACCTCCCCAGTCTGTAGATGACAGGTTCTCACAGAAGGGTTGTGAATGGAAGGAAACAACTGACATCTTCAATCCAAGTAGCATGAATTAGTAATGAAATTAGAATACATCTTCCAAAAGTCACTGCTTTGGAGAAGGAAACATTTGTCTAGATATAAAAATTCTAACATGTTTGCTAAAATTCAGTTTTACAACTTACATCTCCTTCTATCTCTCTGGAATGGCAGTGGAGTTGGAGTGATACCTTTTTATGAAAGCAAGCAGAATTTACTCTAGTTTGAACCCCCAAATACCTTTGCAGTAACTCACCACTGGTAAGGGCATGCCTAAGTTATGCTATGATGATTTTTCTTTGAGTATATTTGGAAGACAGTGAGTTCTGCCTCAATATATATTGCAGGTTTGAAATATTCTTTTCCATCATAAATAGCCAAATAGCATCCAAAGAGACTCGTAAGTCAACATAAACTATTCAGTCTAATGTTCTAGATTCTGGAATATCATTACAGAGTAAAATGTTTCCTTCTCCTCACCATGATATGACAATCAAAATGAGAAAATATAAGATGCACTTGAATGCACAAATGAGTCATATTTAACTTAGTGTGAGTCTCTGCCCTGGCCTAGCCCCATCTCAGCTGTTTGTGTTGAACATTCAGCTAGCTGTCAATTATGCCATCTATTTTTGGAATCAGAGACAGGGAGTCCTTCTGTGTCATGTTTATTCTGCTCCTGGATTGACACTGCAAATCTCTATGCTTTCAAACTCTCTGGGCAACACTCCCATGTGTCCTTGAATAATGCTGATACAGAGTAACACGTCACATTGCTGCCTTTGACTTTTCAGCTCATTACTGTGTTCTCTCCTGGAGAATGAGGCCTGCTTGTCACTTTCATTACTTTCAGACTTGTGTCCCAGGGACCAAGCTCAGTTTCTGTTCATCCCTATCTTATTTTCAGACAAATTCCCTTGAACAATCTGACCCTCAAGTGATGCTCCCGCTGTTCTCATTGCCAGAGAGGGCTCTATGACCCACTCCTCCCACTGTGAACTACTTCGTTTTATTTTCTACCTTCCTGAAATTGAACTTGAATTGCCATCATCCTCCTGTGGATTATTTCCTATGTGTCAGCCACTATTGAGGTCAGTATTCTGTCCACTCCTGCTCCCTACTCCACATGTTTTGGCTGGCCTCCATTTCACTCTTAGGCTGTGAAAAGGCTCCAGCTATGGCATTATATGTTTACTATGGAAGCTAACACTGTTGTTTAACGAAAACTTAAGTTATTCCTTAAGATACTCAACAGTAATTAGAATTTGGATCATTATCTCTTTGGGGCATGATCACAATGTAAAACTACATTGTGTTTCTTTGTTTCAGGTCTTGATTTACATAAAGAACCTTAGCAAAAAAACCAAATATCCTCTCACCGCCTCTCATTCTAATGGCATTGGCAATTGAATTTGGCTTGGGAAACTTCCAATCTTAGATGGTTAAGAACCCATATCCAGTAAGATAACTATATAACTATTGTCTGAGAATCCTGGAAATGTTGGATTTTAGGTATCATCTCCTTCCCTCTACACTGAGGCAGAGACAGAGAAAGAAATCAACAAAAACATATCAGAACAGTCTTTAAATCCATGAAAGGAGTAAAATGTTCATTGGAAAAATATGGAAATGACATCTTAATAATAATAGAAATAAAAACAGCAGTTACTGACATAACACATCCATTAATATTGTTCCTGCTACCACCTCTGGTGCCATTTAATGAACCCCTACTCCATAGGTGCTTTAAACTCATTCCCTTTGCAAGGGAGAGATTATCATCTTCATTGCATGTGGAAAGGAAGTCAAGACTAAGAAAGATCAAATAACTTGTCTAAGATCACATAGCTAGTAAGTGACCAAGCCAAAAACTGAATCTAGGTCTGTTTGATTAAAAAAGTGTATGTTTTAACCACTACAACAAGATGACTCTCATCAGCTATCAGCTTGTTCAGAGATTGCATCTGCAAGGTTTTATATACATAAGTAAAAGGAAATGGAACAAATTTTCTGGTAAATTGGAAAGCTGATTTCAGCCTAGGTCCTGATTCCCATTACTAGTTTTATTTTTCCTTTTCTGCTTGGGCAGATGTTGGCAATGTCTCTGCATATAACCAGCCAAATTGACCAGCAAATCCCTTCAGTGGACTTCATGCATCACTCCGGCCAGCTGTGACTGCTGGAGTGGTTTCCTGTGGCCAAGGAGCTTTGAGAATTATGAGCAGCCATGGCAAACATGGAGAACCATTCCAATCTGACTGAGATCTGTTCACTTGTTGCTTTTAGATCTCCTCCTTGTCCTAGTGTGACTTTTTAGTATCAAATTCCAAAGATAAAGAAATTTTATACTTAGCTCATACTTTTTGACTGTAATGGTCGTTGTTGACTCACTGTATGGATTCATTTGGCCCACCCTCTGGAATGAACCGAGCATGCAAAACGTGACCCAGGTGGCAAGCCTAGATTGTCCTGAGCCTTTCCACATGGAGAACGACATTCGCCTTTTCCTATCCAGGGTTCCTGATTTCTGGGATTTCTTTCCAAGAAGCAAGTGGATGAGTAGACTAAGTTAAGATAATGTAAACAGCAAAGATCTTGTTTATTACTTGAAACCAATTTGATCAAGAGAAGAAATAGAAGGTCCCTATCTTTCTCTTTTTGAATATGCCGGTTCAAATTAACCCTTTTACCCATATTGCATTCTTCCCCTTCATTGCATCCTTCTTGTTCTATGTTGGAAACTTTTCCCTAAACTCTTACCCAGATCTTCCTCTAGGAGGAGCTCATTAGGAATCACTCCTTGCTTCATTTCAGGTGATTTTTCCTCTTTCTAATCTATTGCCATAAGTTGAAGTTTCAATTGCCAGGCAACTGCAAGTGGGGAAAGTGTGGTGCTGTTTAATCTTAGCTCTTAATTTATTTGGTCTAATTATTTTATTATCTATGCTATTAGCTCTTTTCACTCTATTAGCACTTTTCATTCCTTGTTAAAGGAATAGTAACCATTCCACTACCCTGCCTTTTTCTATTCGTTTGCCTATATTTCTTCTCAAGATCTAGTGTGTTTGTACTCTGTCAAATTTACAAATTTAATTCCTTTTCTTCCCACTAGCTCACTTTGATTTCCTTTCTTTTCTTTCTATATGAAATTCTCCCTTGGATCAATATGTTCCACTCAAAAGAAATTGGTTTCAAAGCTCAGTTTCTCAGTTCAGAAAAGAATTTTAATTGTCATTGACAAACTCTTTCCTCTATGTAAAACTTTTCATGTAAGTGGAGAAGATTCAGCCCATGAATTTAGATTGATGAAAATGGATGGCTTTCCTATGTGATCTCTTCTTGTTTCCAGAAAGCAAGGAACACCAAAACGTTTCTGGGTAGCCTGGTGAAAAGAATACCTAAAATCTCTGCTTAATGATGGGGAGTGTGTTTTAGTATTGTATGAGCTACTGTAATTTAGAACCTGAGAGCGAAAGTTCAGGTATGACTAGATGAATAAGAACTAAATCTGAATTCATAAGTGGGTATTGAGAAAGGATACTGTTGATAAATTTAACGTCCGAGAAAAAAAAATAGACAAAAAAGTTATGTGTTACACGTGACAGATCTTAGAGACCTATTTAGAATCATAGAATCAAGGAGTGTTATAGCTGGAAAACTGCTTAGAGAGTATCTATTTCAACCCTTCATTTTGCTGATTAGAAAATGGAAGTTTAGGGGCTGGTCCTGTGGCTGAGTGGTTAAGTTTTCTCTCTCTGCTATGGCTGCCCAGGGTTTTGCTGGTTTCGATCCTGGGCGCGGACATGGCACCGCTCATCAGGCTACGTAGAGGCAGCGTCCCACATGCCACAACTAGGAGGACTCACAACTAAAATATACAACTTTGTACTGGGGGAATTTGGGGAGAAAAAGCAGAAAGAAAAAAAAAGAAAAGAAGAAGATTAGCAACAATTGTTAGCTCAGGTGCCAATCTTTAAAAAAAAAAATGAATACCTGTGCTGTGAATAAACCTCTGGAGTTCAGCAACTTCTTCATTTTAGTTCAGTTCCTTTAAAGAAAAAAAAAAAGAAAATGGAAGTTTACAGAGGTGAAATTGTTATTTCAAGATTATCTAACTACTTAGTGTCAGAGCTCAGACTGGTGTTTCCAGGATATAATATTCATGGTGGACATATCTTACCAAAGGCTGAATCATAAATATGCTTCAATTTGAAGGTACCATGAGATGTTTACTTCAGTTCAGTTTAATCAGGTCCATTTAGGTACTACCCTTATGGCTTTCAAGGATTTTGGAAAATTCCAAGCAAATTGAAGTCCCCAGAGCTAAATAGCCAGAAATGCAGACAGCCTAAACTGAGATCCTTTCCACAGAACTTGATATACTAAAAGGCAAAAATGACTCTCTTTGGTCTTCACTGTTTGACAACAGACCTTGGGAAAAGAATATGGAAAACAAATTTTTATGGATTCATGGAAATTTGTCTTAAGTTGGATTTCCCCATAAGCATATCCTGAGACAAGGATTTGAGTGAAAATATTTTCTTGGAGAGATGATCTCAGGAAGCACTAGTTGGGGAATGGGGAGGTGAGCTAAGGAAGAGTGTCTTATCATTACAGACAAGTAGGGCTCAAAGCCTGATGGGGACCTCTGACATGCTGTGTAGAATATTCCTCTGAGTTTTTAGGAGGCAAGGAAGCTGGGGTATTTATTCACCAACTCCCATATGTCATTGCTTGAGAGTTTCTCCTGGGAGTAGACATTTTGGGTCTGCCCCGTGAAAGAGCTTCACTGCAGTTCTTAAGGCTATAGAAAGCCTTCAGTAAAAGAATTGCGGATAATTGCAGTAAGAAACCATTGGCACACACTGGAATAGCGAGTGTTGAGGGAATATGGGTGGGATATGGATACTGTCTGCTACGACGGGCAAATGAGCAGCGGTGGGAATGGGGGATGAAGCACATAAGCTCAAGTGGATCAGCCAAATGCATTTTGAATCTCATGATATTTACCTCAGGATATGAGTCTGGATTTAATGGGTTTTAGTCTACAGAACTAGCTTATTTTATAGATTGAGATTTTGTGGATTTTCTATGGAATTTTTTGAGAGTGTCCCCAAACATTCATAGGAAACTTTTGGTAAGAACCTTAGGCAGAGCTTCTTGTTTTAGAAACATCTTTGGTCTGGGTAGTAAAGGGTCATGAGAGGTATGGTTGGGAGTTGAGAGAAGGATGTCTAGAGAGAGTGACAAGTGAAAATTGCTGAGTATTTTAGTAACATTAGATATACATACTTGAGTTAAGATTAACATCAAAATGTTAAAAGGCTGTACAATTTATGGAAAATTAATATTTTGAGAAATACTTGACATGGTGAATATCTCAAAAGCTTATTTTTTCTATTGATTTGCAATTTTAAGGAATCAAGAATTCATGGAGTTACATCAAGGAATGGTGGCTACCTGAATGTGAATGTCCCAATACAACCTATAAAAGCTATGTAAATCCACAAAAGAAAAATTTAAAACCACAGGAATCCCATTCTTTAGAATGACAAGTCAGAGTACAATACAGAGTTCAACTTACCTGTAAATAGAAAAATGAAAACCAATTTCCGGTGGAGCTATTTTTCAACTTCCCACCCAAGATTTCCAGAGAGCAAAGTGTGGAAAAACTCTGCAGAGGAGAGAACAGAGAGAACCTAAGAGCAACACTTCTGGGGAGATAAGAACAAAGAGTTCTTTGGAAACTGCAGAGTGAAAGGAAAAAGAAGCAAAAAGGAAAAATTTAGACTTTTGAAAGATAAATGCAAATAAGAAACATCATAAGACATATTTTTCTCCACTTTTCCCCCCACACTAAAGGCATTTTCTTTGCCACACTCACAGAAGAGGGTGATCTAGAACCAGGAATCTTGTAAACCTCCCAAATTTTCATCCCTGCTTACTAAATGCAGACATGCGAGCAATCTTCATTTATGCTAAGAAGAAAATCGAGAGTTAGAATCAAAATCTTTCACCCAATAAAAGTTGTCTCTAAAAGCCAACCACAAACCAGATTACTGTCATATACCTCTGTAAACTAAATTAAATA